AAGGGTGTGTGGCTGCTTTGGAAGCCTTCCTAAAACTAGAATTGTCCAAAGTGGCATTTTCTCAATGTGTCTGCACCACCTTTCCCATCTCAAAACAAATTCCACGCAGAGGGTCAGCGAGGCAGTTGGCGGTGGGTGATGATGCTGTGGAGACAAATCAAGTCTGCACTATGCCATGGCTCTGGCCTTGGCACCCCCTCCCCAAAACCTCCACCTGCCCCAGGGCAGGGGGACTGATTCCTCCACTGGGGACACTTGAAGCCCAAATACTTTGGTGGCATGTGCTAATGACACATTGGGATGGTCAAACGCTGTACTGGGGTCAGCAGGGCCAGAGAGCCATGGGGCCGGCTGCGGGAGGCCTGATCCTGCACCTGGATCAGTGCGCTACATAGCACTCGTGTGTCCTATGTAGGAATCACAACCGTTTTTCTTTGGTATTAGCTGCAATTTCCCTTTCTTGCTTGTGGAGATTAGTAGAAACGCTTTTCTTCCTTCCCCTTCTGTTTTTTGTGGGTCTTTTCTTCGTTTTACCTTGCTGAAAATTTCACACTGGACACGAGTAGTGCAAACACAGTGTCTATACGGTATTCCATGCGTCCAGCATTAATCTTCCAAATGAATTATTCCCACCCTGGAGCAGCTCTGGCTTGAAAGAGCATTAGCTAATTTCCCAAGCAAAAAAAAAATCCCATCTTGTTTTAGATCTGTAATGCTTGGATTTTAAAAAGCAGTTAGTGCATATTTAAGTAACAACCAGGTTTAAATAAGGCCAGGAGGAGGGGACTGGTGGTGGCTTGAAAAACTCTATTAAAATGTAATAAAGAAAGGTTAAGCATTTGAAGAGCTAAGGAGGAAAATGAAGACTGATCTAAACCAGAAAGAGAACAAGCAGTTTTTCAGATGTAAAGTTTTAAAAGAGTTGCAAGTCTGTAAATGTTAAAATAGAGGTTCAGGATTGTTCTATATGAATCTCTAGGGAGGCCCCCATGTCTGGAAGAACTATTAAAACGCTTCTTACTTTCACCTTTTTTAACATTTCCTGAATACTTTCTCCTCTTCACAGTCCAGTTGGGGGATCAAGTGTGTCTCGCTGCATTTTTTCAGTATTTACGTAGCCACTTTCCCTTCAAAGTTTGAGCATGAAACATAATTTTACTGGGATAAATCTGTCACTTAAGTGAAAGAATAGAATCGAAAATGTTAAGCTCCCCCCCCCCCCGAAAAAAAAGAGAAAAAATAGAAAATTTTAAGCCCCCCCCCCCCCCGAAAAAAAAGGAAAAAATAATAAGAAGACTCCCCCAAAATGTTACTTAGAAATGCACTTCTGCAGCAGAGGTCCCTCCCCGAGCCCTTCCTTCTGCTTTTTTTATCTCATTTTTGGGGGTGGGCGTGTAAAAGTGCTTGATTTATTTTTGCAGATGACCCCTTTCCCCACACTGACATTTTTACAGCCGACTTAACATCGAGTCCGGTGTTCTCAGTTATCTGTCTTAATTGTCAATATTTGATTGACTTTTTAATTCTAAGGGAAGGTGGGCAGCCGGTGCAGCCCAGCTCATCCCTCCTGGGCCATGTTTGCCACTGAGCAAACCACCACTGGCCACAGCCTGGACTAAATCCCTGTGACTGGGGATGCTGGCACAGCTCCCTGCTGACTTGCTGATTTAATCTGCACCCCAGGTTTTCTGCTGGCTGGGGCTGGGATTTGCAGGGTTCATGAGTTGTCTGCATGGGTCTAGGGGTGCAGGTCCCTGAGGACAGGTTGTCCTCATCCTCCATGGCTGGTGGTGACAGAACATGCTGGCTGAGCTCGCGCAGGGCAGCAAACCCAGCCAGGGGTTGTAAATCACAGATGCTCTTTGAAGAGGGGAAAAAGGAGGAAAAAAAGAAAAAGGTCGAAAGAGATGGGATGTGAATCTTTAAAGCGGGGTTTTTGTGCTCTCTGGGGCCTCCCCGCTCCCTCCCACCCTCCTCTGTCCCTCCCTCCTCACTCTTTCTATCTCTCGGAGAGAAAAAATCAATTCTCCTCAAACCTTTTACTGCCCCCGAGATCAATTCCCCCCCACTCCTCCCTTTCCCCAATATAGCTAAATAGGGGGTCACTGTCTCATTGCTTTGTTTGCAGGGTGCCACAGCTCCCCTGTTTGGTTTTGGCAATGCTGGGTGTGTTCCAGGCTCTGGGTGTTGGTGCTGGTGTGGCACAGCCTCGAGTTGGGTCTTCCTAAATGTTTCGGTTCTGAGTCCAGTCTGTGCCTGGCTGGGGCCTGTGGGCATGGGGCAGTTTGGGGATGAGAGATGCTGAAGTGTGACATTGGCAAGGAGGGAGTTTGGGAAGAGGGTGCCTGCATGTGCATTGAGCCTGGCTTGCCCAGCAGCAGTTAGCCCCAGCAAATTTTAGGATGCCCTTTCCATTGCTCAATTCAGCTGCTGACAGCAGTGCCTGCTTGCTGTCCTCACCCTTTGTGCTATTGACCTCACCAGTTTCCATGACTTGAAGGGTGCAGTATCAGAGCATCGTAGAGACAGAGAGGATTCCGTTTCCTGCTCTCCCAGAGTGTGATTTAGGCTCACTAAAGTGTGTTGTTTGTGTATGTGCCCACAGCCACCTTCTGCCATTCCAGGCATCCTCCTGCAAAGCCATCCCCTCCAGAGACACGTTGCTGCCTTCGCTGGGGCTCTCCAGTGGCTGAGCATCCTGGAGTAGAGATGCACAGGTTGTGGCAGACCACAGTCCTTAGGAACCAAGCAGTCCTTGTGCAGAGATTGGGGAGGAGAAATAAGGCATCAGTGGGCTTATTCCCATAATAAGGCTATAGACTTGGAAGCTCTGCAGGCTGTGCTCTAATTTCCTTGCCAAATTGCATTTGTGGCACATCAGCAGCTTATGGCTGATGCTGGGCAAGAGGTGATGGTGGCAAGATGGAATAGTCCTGGCTGGCTTTTCAGTGCTGTTGGTAAATCTTTGGTGCTTGCCACAGCTTTTTTGAGGTGCAAACAGGTAGCCTCCATTCTCGTTGGGGCTTGCCCTGGGGAGGGGAGCTGGCTCTGGGGACAGCAGCTGCAGAGGTGGGGAGAAGGATGTCCTGTCCCCATCCTCCCCCTTCCCTGGGGATGGATGGGCTTCAGGGCTCAGGTTCCCAGGGCGAAGGCAGGGAGGGAAGGTGACAGGTCTATTTATAGGCAGCCCATCGACCCAGCGATTTGCATAGCTCCTTCGGAAGTCGATCGATGCCTCCATCAAAAAACGAGACCAAATCAATACGCCCTCTCGACTCGTGCAAAGGTGAAAGACATTAAAAGGATGGCCATACCCTTCACGCCTCCCCTGCCAGCTGCAAAGTCACTGCTTCTCCTGCAGCCCTGGCCCGGCAGGGAGATGTGGAGTGATGTCCCTTGGGCTTGGGACAGCTGGCAGCATGTTTGCATTTCCAGAGGGTGCCTGCCTGCTTCTGCCTTGGTTTGCAGGCAGCTGCCTTGCTCTCCACTGGCTGGTGTGTGTCCTGCTCACTGCCCTGCCTCCCTTCTGTGATGCCTCTGTGACACCTGAACCACTGAGCCCCATGGAGCTAGGCAAGGCAGAGCTATTCCCCCTCCAGCAAGGCTCAGGGTGGCAAGGGGATGTGACCAAGATCGTGCAGGGACACAGTGGCAGGATAGAGGGGCTGAGGCTGACTCTTAACCTCTTGCTCTGATTTTAGGGCTCTCTCTGACCCAGTCACCAGGGAGTATGTGCCTGTAGTGCCCCATGTTGGGGCACATCGCTGGGGTCTCCTGTGCCTGCCTCACCCCAGAGCCCCTCTGACCTCCCTTTCTCTTTCTTCCCACTGCTCTCTCCAGCCAAGCTCATCGTGGAGACAGACACCTTTGGGAGCCGTGTGCGCATCAAAGGGGCAGCCACAGGTTTCTACATCTGCATGAACAAGAAGGGGAAGCTGATTGGCAAGGTATGGCGCTGGGGTCGAGAGCAAGCCAGGGAAGTGCTATGGGCACTGAGAAAGGCTTGCTGGGAAAGGAGGTCCTACGTGATACAGAGCCTATCCATGGGGATGGGAGGTGAGATGGGGTGCTGGGGGCTCAGCCAGAGCACCCATTTGGAGGGCAGGGGGTGAGCTATCCTGCAGCCCGGGCAGCAGGAGGGAAGGGCAGGAGAGAGGGAGGCTGACGGGTGCTGTGTGGGGAGTATTCCTTGTATCTCCCCTAACAAATAGGCGGGTTGCTGGGCTATTCTCCCCGATTACATGGTACAAGTGCCAGGAATGTTAAGATGCTCTGTGGGGCTGGCCCCAAGGCCCGGCAGTTAGTCACGCTCCCTCCGAGCCTCCACGCACCCTCCTCAGGAGCAGAAGAGGCTGGATGTGCAACATCCTGCTGGGACAGCAATTGTCTGGAAGGTTTTTCCATGGCCGCTCCTTCCCTGAGGCTGGCTGATGCAGGTCCCCTCCCTGGTCCTGCTGATACCTGTAATAGGCAGCCCCCAGCTGCCTGTGTGCTCCCTGCCACCTGCAACTATGGGCATCCTCCCCATGGACCTCACATCACCTCTCCTGCCCTTTGATGCCCCTCCTATATTGAAGACAACAGAGGGGTTAGGATGGGTGTCTGAATTGCCACTGAGATGTAGACTTTGTTTATGGTCATGCTGGCAAGGGATTCCAGCCCCTGGCATAGATGGGGTTGGGATAGGAGTGGGCAAAAATCCCACTGTACAGGTGCAGTGGAAGTGAAGGCTGGGACAAGCTGCATTTGGGCTTGCAGCCCAGTGCTGGCATCATGATGGGGATGTGAACTGCAATGAGCAGCACCTGCTGATGCCAAAATGCCTGCTTCCTTCAGCTTTCTAAGGAAAAGCAGATTTGGGGCAATTGTGATTTTTAGAAGCAGTGGGATAAGTGAGCCCTTGGCTGCCCACAAGAACTCCAAACCCTGCTACCACACAAGCCAGTCCAGCTGGGAGTAGCGAGAAACCCTCTGACCGAGCACTCATTGCTCCAATCTCCCCCTCTGTCCCCCCTTCTGTCCCCCCCTCAGAGCAACGGCAAAGGCAAGGACTGTGTCTTCACGGAGATCGTCCTGGAGAACAACTACACAGCGCTGCAGAACGCCAAGTATGAGGGCTGGTACATGGCCTTCACCCGCAAGGGCCGCCCGCGCAAGGGCTCCAAGACCCGGCAGCACCAGCGGGAGGTACATTTCATGAAGAGGCTTCCCAAGGGCCACCAGACCACTGAGCCCCACAGACGCTTTGAGTTCCTCAACTACCCCTTCAACCGGAGAAGTAAAAGGACTAGAAACTCCAGCTCCAGGGCAGGCCCTTGATGCGCCTGGCTCTGCCCGCCCTGCCTGCACCTCTCCCGGAGGACTCTCCTCTGAGCTTGGTGGACTTATATGTAGAGACTTTCCCATATGGGTATTAAACAGAAAAACAAAACAAACAAAAAAAAAAAAGGGGGAAGGGGGGGAGGATAACAAATTACCTGCTCTAGTTGTTGATAATTTGGGGGAGGGGGGTTGTTTGGTTTTTACAAAAAAAAAAAAAAAAGGAAAAAAATAAGAGTCTCTATTTTTGTACTCCAGCTTTAAAAGGAAATGAAAAGTTCAAAGACTGGTGAAGGGGGAAGAGCCCTTCACTTAGATACGTCCTAGTCTGTTTGGGGTCATGCTTTATTTTGTAATTTTTTTTTTTTTTTTTTTTTTTGTGTTTCCTTGGGGGGAAAAAAAATACCACTTGTATTTGGTTGCTGTGAAGCTGGCATGTCACAGCCGCACCTGTGCCAGCATAA